AAATCTGTTCTTCAGACGATCTCTAAATTCAGGTGGGATATATTCAAGGTCATATTTTGGCTCTCGTGGACTTGTTTTCATTTTCTTCAGCTTCAGTCTGAATTTGCATATGAGCAATTGATGGTTTGTTCCACAGTCTGCCCCTGGCCTTGTTTTCACTGATGATATGGAGCTTTTCCATTGTCTCTTTCCACAGAGATAGTCAATTTGATTTCTGTTTAGTCCATCTGGTGAGGTCCATTTATATAATCATCTCTTATGCTGTCAAAAGAAGGTATTTGATATGAACAAATCATTGATTTTGCAGAATTCTGTCTTGCGATCTCCAGCATCATTTCTATCACCAAGGCCATATTTTCCAACTACTGATCCTTCCTCTTTGTTCCCAACCTTTGCATTCCAATCACCAGTAATGATCAATACATCTTTGATTGCATGTTTGGTCAATTTCAGATTGAAGAAATAGGTAGAATTCTTCTATTTCTGCCTCACTGGCTTTAGTGGTTGGTGCATAAATTTGAATAATAGTGGTATTAACTGGTCTTCCCTGTAGGCGCATGGATATCATCCTATCACAGACAGCATTGTACCTCATGACTGATCTGGATATGTTCTTTTTGACAGTGAGTGCAACACCATTCCTCTTCAATTTGTCATTCATGGCATAGTAAACCATGTGGTTGTCAGATTCAAAATGGCCAATGCCAGTCACTTAAGCTCACTAATGCCTAAGATACTGATGCTTATGAGTTCCATTTCATTTTTGACAATTTCCCATTTTCCTAGATTCAGACTTCGCACATTCCATGCCCTGATTATTAATGGACGTTTACAGTTGTTTTTCTTCATTTTCAGTTGTGCCCCATCAGCAAATGCAGGTCCCACGGGCTTTACTCCCACAGGCTTTACACTATTCGTGTCATCACAGTCAACTGTACTTTGAGGAGGCAGCTCGTCCCCAGTTGCATTTTGAGTGCCTCCCAACCTGAGGAGCTCATTTTCCGGCGCTACATCTGACAGTGTTTTTCTGCTATTCATAAGGTTTTCAGTGACTAAACATTTGGAATTAGTTTGTGTCTCCTTCTTCCTAGTCTGTCTTCATTTGGAAGCTCATCTGAGAAATGTCCACCGTGAATGAAAGATCCTGCTGGTATTTAAAATACCAGTGGCATAGCTTCCAGAATCACAGCAATTCACAAGCCACCACAGTATGACAACTGACAGACAAACTGACACCACAGTACGACAAACTGACAGATGAGACTTACTTGTTTAGTCTCTTTTATATCTCAGAAGAAATTGACTCAAGACATATCCTACACTAATTTAGTTTCATGAACAAAGACAACCCCTTCTCAAGTGGCAATGTAACCACAGGCATAAACCAAAACGAAATCCACTGCCATCAAGTCATTTCAGACTCATAGAGACCTTATATGCCAGAGAAAGATGAGGCTTTTTGCTGCCATAAGGATTTACAGCCTTGAAAACCCTATACAGGGGCGCTATGTGTCGGAACCAACTCCACAGCACGGAACCACCACCACCAGACTAGAAATCGATTTCAGTTTTTGGTTTTGTCCCCAAACTGTAAATCTTTATGGGAATCCTAGTGTGATGTTTTAGGACAAACACTGGACTGCTGACCGCAGAGTTGGTGATTCAAACCCACCAGCTTTTCCTTGGAAACCCTATACAGGATCACTATGCGTTAGAACCACCTCAATGGCATTTAACAACAACAAATCTTGATGGGGCAGACAGCATTACTTTCTCTTGTGGAGTGGCTGGTGGGTTTGAACCACTGACTTTGTGGTTTCGCAGTTCAGTGCTGATCCTACAGCTCTACACCAAAAGTCCACAGGCATTGAAGTGAAGAATTATAACACATATTTCAGGGGAAAGGCGTCCTAATGGTACAGTGGAGTAAACATCAGGCTACTAATCACAGGAGAAAGACAAGGCTTCCGTAAACACTGACTGCCTTGGAAATTCTATGGAGCGATTCTGCTCTTTCCGACAAGGTCACTATGAGTTGAAATTGGGTTTGGTTTTTTAGGGGGTAGGGTGGGATAGTATAAGGGGGAACACAATTCAATCCAAACAGCCAGAAATCATTTCAGTATTTTATGTGTTAACTCAGTGATGGTCAAAGCCTGTGAGGAGGTAGGTGCAGGTAGATAAACTAAAGCAGAGAAGCCAGGTTGCTTGGTCAAAGTCACAGAGCTGAGATCCAAACCCAGACCACCCAGCTCTTGAGTCTGTGCTCTTAATGATGCACCCCTCACCCTGTCCCCACCTCTCTCTCCCTCCCTCCTCACAGACTGACCCCTTTCTGGGCATGATGATGGGCCTTGGAGGAGGCATGGACTTCGACTCCAAGAAGGCCTACAGGTGAGGCGTGGGTCAGGGGTGGGGAGTGGAGCCAAGAGCTGCCGGTTCAAGGTGGGAGGGAGGGCACAAATTAGTCCATCTATGAACTGATGAAGATCTGGGGCTCAGAGAAGACCTGAGTTCTGATTTCCGTCCGCTCCTGCAGGGATGTGGCGTGGCTGGGTGACTGTGACCAGGGCTGCCTGGCCCTTGCTGATCTCCTTGGATGGAAGGTGAGAAGCCTGAGGAGCCCTAGTCAGTCCCAGGACCTAGTCCTGCCTCACAGACTCTCTGAGCCCATGACCCACTCCATGACTCCTCTGGCCTCTGTGAACTTTGCCCCTTGCAGAAGGAGCTGGAGGATCTCGTCCGGAAGGAGCATGCCACCATAGATGCTCAGTCAGCGTCAGGGGCCCCGAACCCCAATGTTCCTACTTCCCCCAGGAAGTCTCCACCACCTGCCAAGGAGGAGGCGAGAAGCACGGAGCAAGAGAAATCCCAGTGACAGGGCGTCTCCCTGACAGGACACCCAGCTTCTCTGGGGACAGCCGAATCCCAGCCCAGGCCCCTCTCTAACTTGCAGTTCTTACATGAGAGCTCTAAACAGCTCCCCAAGCTCCTAAACACTCTCTCTTCAAACTGGGTTCCTAACCCCTCAACCCAGCACAGCTCTAACATCCTCCAAGGGCTAGGTCTGAGCAGCCAGCTTCTTAACAGCCTCAGCCTTTAACCCCTGCTCGTGGTAAGAACCAGCCTCTAATCTCTAACTGCTCCTAGGTGCTGGGGCACACCCTCACCTCAAACTCCCAGGCCAGGGGATCTTGGGCCTGGTCTAACCTCCTCCCATGGGCTGGGGCTGAGCCTGAAGGCCTGCCACATCGGTCTCTGCCTCCAACTTCACCAGGGACCCACTTTCTACATGAGGATGAGTAGAAGATGTTGCTTTATTAGAGACAAATTAAAACAACAAAAACCTAGCCCTCAGCAGTCTGGTCTGAATGTTTCTGGTGTGGACACATGGGTGTGGCTGGAGGGAGGGGTTTGGATCTTAGGCCCTTGAGAAAATCAGAACATCAAGGGGGGTGAGGAGAGGGTGGGTAGGTGTGTCTCATGGGACGACGTTGAGGGAAGGGTGCCTCCCAGATGGGTGCTGGGAGCGGGGAGCCTCATGACTCTTCCCCCTGTGATCGCAGCCTGCCAGGATCTCTTCCTCCATTGCCCACTGGTCACCTAAGACCTGAGCACCCGTAAAAGGAGAGGACGATTAATTTCACACACTTCCCCCAGCCCCGCCCCTTCCCCCTAGCCGCTCAGCTTCCTCTCTTACTTTCACTTCCTGCTACACCAACCTCCCTCGGAGAACAGGTAGGGGCCCCCAGGGACCCAGCATCTGGCCTCTCTGCCCCCAACCTCTGGTCTCAGGCAGCTGCCCCAACCTGACCTGGCCTACACCTTACCCTCTTCCCCATCCCTGTCCCTAGGGCCCAGCTGGCATCTGTCCCCTCCACCCTCTACCAACCCACCCCTGGACACCTGCTTTCTGCCCCACCCCACCTACCACAGGGCTTTTCTGATCAGTGAGCTCATTTCTTTGTTTAGCAGTTCATTATCCATCTCTCTCTCTCTCACTTCCACCTCAAGCAAGAATGGAAACCCCTGAGAACAAGGGCCTGTCCTGATCTCCCCGCCCCGCCACCAAAGGCACTGGTACCTAATTCTGGGCCTGTGCTCAAGTATTTATTGAATGGATGGGTGGGTGGATGAATGGATGGATGGAACCTCTCTTTCGAGATCCAAACGTTTTTCACTCCCAGGACTGGTCCAGAGATCATTTTAAAATATCCATTCCCACAGAGATGACCCACCTAGAACTCTGTACCTGGTTAAGAGCTGGGGGGTGGGGGGGGCAGTGGATAGATAAATGTGTGATAAAGCAAAGAGAGTACAAGTATAGAATCTAAGTGGTGGGCATATGTTGTTAAGTGTCATTAAGTCAGTTCCCACCCATAGCGACTCTGAATAGGGTTTCCAAGGAGCAGCTGGTGTGTTTCACCTGCTGACCTTGTGGTTTGCAGTCCAGTGCTGATCCTACAGCGCTGTATCAGGAGTCTCGGTGGGCATATGAGGGAGCTTCAAAAAGTTCATGGGAAAATTCCATTATCTTTTCAACTTTTTATGTGAATTGGGTGAAGGTTTACAGAGCAGATCAATTTTCCATACAACAAAAGTTTCATGGAAAAACGGAATCCATTATCTCGACATTCCATTTTCCCACAGAATTTTTGAAGCCTACTCATATGGGTGTCCTCTGTAAAATCTTTTCAGCTGGCTTTTCTGTTTGAATTTTTCATAGTGAAATATTGGGATCTGTAGAGGTGGGAATTTAAGAGACACCCCATGGTCTAGGGAGAAAGAAAGAAAAGCTGTCATACAATGTGGCAAATTGATAGTGTGCCTACTAGGGGCTGGGGTCCTGGTGTGGCACTGTAGGATAAGCACTGGACTGGTAACCATAAGCCTGGCAGTTCAAACCCACCACCTGCTCCTTAAAAACAATACAGAGGTGCTATGAGTCAGAATCAACAGCATTTAACAAAAACTACAGGTTGGGCACTTTTCCAGCCCAGGGTTTTGCCAAGTATTGTTATTTAGTAAGTACACATTGGTACGGCCTCCCTGGTTGTTAAAATGTTGGACTATTTCCCTACCATTTGTTAAATAGCTGTTGTCTTGAACCCCACCACCTCCCGTCCCCCTAAACCACTGCCTGTCTACTGGGGTTCCCACATCTCCTTGCCATAAAGCAACACCTAACCTAGAAAGGAGCCTGTTGGTCTTATTCTGATTGACTGGGGTCTCTGCCATATTGCTCCCTTGGTGGAAAAGCATTGATTACCATCTTCTTCCCTAGCAAGGGCCAGATCATGCATGGCCCATTGGCCTTGCACATTCTGAGAATGGCCCAGCCGGAGGACAGGGCTCTGATGCTCCCACCGACAGGGAGAGGTGAGGGCTACTGGGGCTGGGATCTCAATCTCCTGCCTCTGACCCAGAAACTGTCCACACAGTGCCCACCCACCCCAACAGGACCCCAAAACCCACACTCTGACCCTTTACTCCTGAAATACCCCTTCCTGTACTTTGACTCCTCCTAAGTATCCAAACAACAACAACGAGTATCCAAAACCCATCTCTGGCCCCTGACCTGGATCCTACACGTCCCAGACTGGCTGCATCACAGGTGAATGGAGCAGGTGAGGCTGCTCTAGGGGTCCTGAGGTCCTCAGAGCCACTGCATCGCCTTCGGAGGACATGGGGTGTATGGCAAATCCCCGAGCTGGAAGTTCAGGATGCAAAGGCCTTGCTGGAACTATGGCCACTGGGGGTGAGTACTCAACGTTTGGGACCCACTCTGACCCACCCATGACATCCACCCCTGATGTCAGCTGGTTGCTGTCAAATGTAACACAACCCCGGCAAACCAAAATGGCTGCTGGCTGCTGCTTTTCCTCCCACTTCCTTTCTTCCTCTCCTCTTCCTTCTTCCTCTTCTTCTTCTACTACGATTTATTCTTATTTTTCCTCTTATTCTTTATCGAGAGTATGAAGACTTTCAACAGATATCTATTCTCTGTGAAAATGAAGGTCCTGTCACATACGTGAGACTCTGTTGTTAGATGCCACATGTAGCTTGCTTCTGACTTAGAGCCAGTGTCTCACAGTGATATAAATTCATACAGGTACCTGTTCCACAAGGGGTTTTGGTTTTTGTGTTTTATAATAGAGATCATTTTATTTGGATTTCTGTTTTGAACTTTTTACTGTAAATAGAATGAAAATGTACAGGGCAGATGATCAATTTCACTTTCAACAAATCATACACTTTATTTCATCTCAATGTCGGCACTCTCCGACGTGTGCCATCACTCATCCCACTTCCTTCCTGTGGCTCTTGTTTCCATTCCCCCTTCTTTCCCCACCCTGCTGAGCTGTGTCCTTGGGTGAATGCTGCGCTTTGGACCTCGAATTGAATGGTTGGCCATTCTACATACTTATCTATAACTCCCCATCTCCCTTCCCTGCCAGTTCCTCCTAGCCATTTTTGTCTCTAGGCATTTGCCTGTTTTAGGTGTTTTATATAAGCATAATCATTCAATATCTGTCTCATTCTGTTGGTTTATTTTAGGTAACATGTCCCAGTGTGGTGCTGTAGGATAAGCAATTGACCACAAGGTCGGTTTGAACTGCAAGACTGGCTGTTCAAACTCATCAGTGGTCCTCAGAAACCCTATACAGGATCGCTATGAGTTGGAACTGACTCGATAGCATTTAACAACAATGTTTGAAAGGTTTATCTATGTTGTAGTTATCTATGTATCAGAACTTCAATCTTCTTTATAGCTGAATAATATTCCACTGTATAGATAAACCATATTTTGTTTATCCATTTATCAACAGATGGGCTCCTTGGATTGTTTCCACTTTGGACTATTGTGAATTATGTTGCAATAAGCATTGGTTACAGCCAGGTTTTTGAGTCCCTGCTTTCAATTTTTGGGGGGTGGGGTATATATCTAGGAGCCCTACTTGTCTGTCAGTTTGTCATACTGTGGTAGCTTGTGTGTTGCTGGGATTCTGAAAGCTATGCCACCGGTATTTTAAATACCAGCAGGGTAGCCCATGATGGACAGGTTTCAGATGAGCTTCCAGACAAAGACAGACAAGTAGAAGGAGAGATGTACTTCCAAAAATTTAGTCACTGAAAATATGAATACTGTCAGATAGCACCAGACTATTGAATGTTGAAACATGATAAAGAGCACCAGAATGTTGTCAGATATAGTGTCAGAAGATGATTTCCTCAGGGTGGAAAGCACTCAAAATACGACTGGGGAAGAGCTGCCTCCTCAAAATAGAGTTGACCATGATGACGTGAATGAAGTAATGTCTTCAGAACCTTCATTGGCTGATGGGGCACAACTCAAAATAAGGAGAAACAGCTGTAAACACACATTAATAGTCAGAACATGGAATATATGATATATGAATCTAGGAAAATTGGAAATTGTCAAAAATGAAATGGAACACATCAACATTGATATTCTAGGCATTAGTGAGCTGAAATGGACTGGTATTGGTCATTGTGAATCTGACAATCACCTGATTTACTATGCTGGGAATGAAAATTGAAGAGGCATGGCATCTCATTCATTATCAAAAAGAACATATCAAGATCTGTCTTGGAATACCATGCCGCCTTTGATAGGATAATATCCATAAACCTAGAAGGAAGACCAGTTAATACCATGATTATTCAAATTTATGCACCAAGCAACAAAGTCAGTGATGATGAAATCTAAGAATTCTATCAACTTCTTCAGTCTGATATGGATCAAACAGGCCATCAAGATATATTGATAATGACCAGCGATTGGAATGGAAAGATTGGAGACAAAAAGGAAGGATCAGTCACAGGAAAATATGACCTTGGTGATAGAAACAATGCTGGAGAGCACATGATAGAATGTTGCAAGACTAATGACATCTTCATTGAAAATACCCTTTTAAAATAATATAAAAGACAACGCTACTGGAGAGCCATCAAGGCATTCAGTCAAGTCCCTTCAGGACAAACCCCACTCCAAGACTGAAACTCAAAGGGAACATATGAGCAAGAATGTAAGCTTGCTGGTGACCACACTGGTCTACTGGTGAGTGGAAGAGGGGGGAAAGCAGCAATGAAGTTATGGGCTGAGTCAACTCCCGTTGACCTGGAGATGAGAAAGAGAAAAGGAAGAGCTGGTTGGTCCAAAGTATGGTGAGACCTGGGGACACCTGAGCCCATGGACAAGGACATAGCCACTGAGGGCCAGAGCTGAGAGTGAAGCATCCAGCTGATAAGAAGTGAGGGGAGATGCACAAGAACGCTCAAACTTGTGGATAGTACCCATTCAACTTAGCTTCAATGGCTTGATGATCAAAACTCAACTGTTGTAGGATCAATCCTATCCCTTCTGTATACAGGGTTGATAGGGACAGGCAACTTAGACATCGTTGGTGAGACTTGGGGACTTTTATGTGCCTTCATAGCTATCTAAAATGGGGCTATATAGGCACGAAGTGACTGGCTTATAAATTTTCAAGAGGGAGTTTAGTTTTAGTGTAGGGGGAAAGGTAGAATCCCCACCAAATAGTTTTCATCTTGTCTAGACAGGTCTAGTGAAAGGAGATGGGGATAAAATTCTTATGGCTCAATAGTGAGTCATTGGGATAGCTCTGAGTCGGTACTGATTCAGTGGCACTTAACAAAAACAACATATCTAGGAGTTTAATTGTTGGATTATATGTTAAGTCTCTGTTTAACATTTTGAAGAATCACCAAACTGTTTTCCACAGCAGTATTATTTTACAGTCCCATGAGGAATGGACTAAGATTCCAATTTCTCTCCATCCTCATCAACATCTGTTGCTTCCTGGGTTTTTTGTTTTTTGTTTTTGTTTTTGTTTTAAATCATTGCCATTCCAGTGGGGGTAATCTGATTGTGGCTTTGATTTGCATTTCCCTGATGGCTAATGACATTGAACATCTTTTCATGCGCTTGTTGGCCATTTGTACTTCCTCTGTGGTAAAATATCTATTTAAGTCCTTTGCCTGGTTTTTTGTTTTGTTTTGTTTTAATTAGGTGCTTGTCTTCTTACCGTTAAGTTGTAAGAGATTTTTTTGTATATATATTCTGGACATTAAACCTTATTCAGTATATGATTTCCAAAAATTTTCTCCCAATCTATAAGCTGTCTCTACTTTCTTGATGGTTTCATGATAAACAAAAATTTTTAATTTTGATAAGGTCCTATTTATCTATTTTGTCTTTTGCTGGCTTATATCATATCTAAGACTTCATTGTTAAAAATTAGATCCTGAACTATTACCCCTATGTTTTCTTCTAAGTGTTTTATGGTTTCAGTTCTTACATGTAAGCCTTTGATCCATTTTGAATTTGTTTTTGTATATAATATAAAGTATGAGTCTAGCTTCATTCTTTAGCTTGTGGAGATTCAGTTTTCCCACTTACTAATGCAACTATTCTTTCTCTTTGAATGGATTTAGCATCCTTGTCAAAAATTAATTGAACATGTATGTACAAGTTTATTTCTAGACTCTTCATTTCATTCCATTGGTCTATATGTCTATCGGAGTCCCGGCGTGGCACTATAGGATAAGCACTAGACTGCTAGCCTAAAGGTCAGTGGTTCAACACCACCAACTGCTCCTTGGAAACCCTATGTTGTTGTTAAGTGCCTCAAGTTGGTTCTGACTTATAGCGACCCTGTATAGGATTTCCGAGGAGCCTCGGGTGAGTTTGAACCACTGACCATCCACTTCAAACCAACCTTGTGGTCGAGTGCTTACTCTACAGAGCCACAGCAAGGCTACTGGAAATCCTAACCAGGGTCATTATGAGTCAGAACCGATTCAATGGCACTTAACAGCAACAACAATTTGTTTATCGTTATACCAGTGCCGGATTGTTTTGATTACTAGAGCTTTTATAGTTATTTGAGATTGTTCTTCTTTGGCAGTTCTGTATACATTTGTGCATTCGCTTTTCCATTTCTGCACAGAAAGCTTGTTGGAATTTTGGTGGGAATGGTACTGAATCTATAGATCGCTTTAGGTAGTATTGACATCTCAGCAGTATTAAATCTTCTGATCCATGAATATGGAATGTCCTTCCATTTATTAAGGTCTTCTTTAATGTCTTTCAGTAATGTTTAATAGTTTTCAATGTACAAGTTTTTCCTGGATTAAATTTATTCCTAGGCATTTTATTCTTTTGGATGCTGTTTGTAAGTGGAATTGTTTTCTTAATTTTTGTTTTTCAGATCGCCTAGTGCTAATGTATAAAACTTGACTGATTTTTGTGTGTTGACCTTGTATATTTCAATACTTTGCTGAATTAATTTATTAGTCCTTGGGTGGTACAAGTGGTTAAGCACTCAAACATTAATCAAAAGGTTGGCAGTTCAAACCTATCCAGAGGCACCTCGGAGGAGAAACCTGGAAATCTACATGTGAAAAGTCGTAGCCTTGAAAATCCTTCTCTGCACACATGGGTAACCAATAGTCAAAAACGACTCACCAGCACTTAATAACAAAATATGTTTGCTGTTGTTAAATGCCATTGAGTCAGTTCTGACTCATAGCGACCTTGTATAGGGGTTTCCAAGGAGTGACTGACTGGTGGGTTTGAACCACCAACCTTAGCAGTCCAGTGTTTATCCTACAGCACTACACCAGTATCATATTGTCTGTGACAAGGGATCGTTTTAATTCTTCCTTCCTGAAAAACTGCATTTTTCATAAATGAAATTTATCAGACTGAGGAGTTTTCCTTCTATTCCTAGTTTGCTGAATGAATTTTTCACCACAGGGTGTTGGGTTTTGTCAAATGCCTTTTTGCAACAATTGAGACAATCACATGGTTCTGGTCTTTCATCCCATTAATGTGGTGCATTACATTGGTAGATTTTCTTATGGTGAACCACCCTTGCATTTGATGTATAATCCCTTTTCTATACTGTTGGAGTCTGTTTTCTAGTATTTGGTTGAAGATTTTTACATTTGTATTCATGAAGAATATTGGTCTGTAGTTTTCTTTACTTGTGGTCTCTTTAGCTGGCTTTAGTATCAGAATAATGTACTGATTTTTCCAAAGAAAAATGGTCTCCTTTCTTCTTTAAATGTTTTGCAAAATTCCCTAGAGAGACCATCTAATCCAGATTGTTCCTTGTTATAAAGTGTTTGAGAGCAAAAATGCTGGTTGTTTTTCCACGTTAACATTTTTTATTTCTTCTTGAGTCTATTTAAATAGTTTGTATGTTTCTAAGAATTTGTTCATTTTATATGGACTCTGTAGTTTGTGTGTTAATTTTGTTTATCTTTTTGAGTAATCAGTTTTTGGTTTCCTTGATCAAAAAGGCTGCTAATTGATTCAAATGATTAAAAATGCAGAAGTAAAATAGCCTCAGATGTAAATAAAACTAGTTTAAGGGATGTCTGGACCCTGAGCTTCAAAAAACAATTTAAGAATTTCTCTTAATTCCATTAATTAACTTTGTTTCTAACTGTGGGGAATTCTGTATCAGTTAGGCTGCAAGTAACAAACAAGACATTTATCTTTCTAAGGTAACTAGTAAGGAAGCGGCTGGCTCTACTTCAAACATCAGGGCCAGTTTCTCTGTGAGTCTCTTGGCCTTTTTTTATGGCTGTCCCTGGTCCAAGCATACAAAGGGGCTTCTAAAAGTTCAAGGAAAAATGGGATTGAAAGACAATGTAATTTTTCCATGAACTTTTGAAGCCTCTTCATATGTGTTGATAAAGCATTAGTTTATCAACAAAAAACTTACAGTTGAATCAGAATCTATGGATAGGACCCAGATAGCGATATTTTTAAAAGCTCACCTTGAAATGATAATATACAGTCAGAAGTGTGAGCCACTGCCTACATTGGTTATTTGCTTACTTGTTTATTCCTCCCACTGAAAAGTGAGCTACGAGAAGGCAGCAAAACTGTATGCCTCTTGACAACTGTGTTCTCATTGTCTGGAAGTGACAAGATCTGAAAAATATTTATCTAACAAATGAATCCTATATGGTGGCATAAGTGAATAAAACTACAATTCTGCAAGAAAAAAAGTTGAATGTGCTAACTAACATGTTTGTCATAGTTTCTTCTTTAAGCACGCCCTTTTCCTGGTGCCCAAGATGGTTGTCCCTAGTTCAGAGGTATATTCCACCAGATAGCAGTCCCAGCAGAAATAGAAAATCCTTTCTAAAGAGCAGCAGCAAAAGTCCTGTGAAAGATTTCCATTGGCTGGGCTTAACTTCAGATGCTCATCTCCGAACCAATCAGAGTGGCCAGAAAATATAATCATTCCATTGGCTAAGTTAAGTCATGGGTCTAGCATGGATTGACAGTGGTGGTGGTGGTTATGTGCCCTGGAGTCAGAACCGACTCATAGCACCCCTGTACAGGGCTAAGGGGATAACCGAAAGGAAATTTGGGGTGTGGAACTCAAAACAAGGAAAATTAATGTCAAACGGGCAAAAGTAACAGATACCTGCATATCTCCTCTTCAAATTGACCTTTGCCTCCACCTCTCTATTCCAGAGTTTTCTTGTCATAGGACATGGCCCCAGCCAGGACTTGGTGCTGAGGACAGGACCTTCCTCAGGAGAAATAAACACCTACCAGATCAAGAAAGTTCCCGGAGGTGAGGGGCCTACCCTTGAGATTCCAGTTCAAAGCAAATTTATCACCAAGAAGTCTCAGCCACACTTCTAAAATATCTCCCAAATCTTCCCGGTACGCTCTGCCTTTATCCCCATAGTCTGAGCCACCATAATCTCTTGCCAGACTAGTGTAGTATCCACCTTCAGTTTCCACTCCTTCTCTCCTGAAATTCATTTTGAGTCGAGTAACCAGAATGGTATTTTTAAACATCCATCTGATGTGATGTTACACAACTGCCTCAAACCCTGCAGGGGTTTGTAACACTCTTAAATCACTATTTAAACTCTTTACCATGACTTCAATCTGCTGCACAAATCTAGCCCTGGCCAGCTGATCCTCATCCACTCTGCTCCAGCCACACTCGTCTTCTTTCTGTTCTTAGAACATGCTGAGTATGTTCAGAGGCTTTACATTTACAGTTCTCTTTTGCATGATGAGTCCTCTTCCTTGAATGGTTAGTTTAATCTCTCCATTCTTCAAGGGACTGCTAACATGAACCTTCATTAACCACCACAGCTAAGATGACCCCCAGTCATTTTCAATCCCTTCATGCTTCTCATAACACTCAATACAATACACAGTTATCTTTGGCTATTTCTTACTCATTTATTTTCTGTTTCTTCCCACTGAAAAGTAAGCTACAAGACGGCAGAAAAATTGTCTGCCTCTTAACAACTGTGTTCCTATTGTCTGGAAGTGACAAGACTCAAAAATATTTATCTAACGAATGAATCTAATATGGCAGCAAAAGTGAGATATAAGAGTAAGATACAGAAAAATACAGGAACTACAAGGGCTGGAAATGTCCCTGTTCAGAAAGTCCCTTATTGGGGATCAGGGTGGAGAGAAGAAGCAGCTATTCTTCATGTTTTCTTCCCTCTCCCTCCTTGCCTCTCCCCCAGGTGTGTCTCTGGAATCTTCTAACCTCTGCATGCCTGACCTGCCCCATCTCCTGGCCTTCCTATCAGCCAGCAGGTATAGGTTACTCATCAAACGGGCCAAGAAGGACCCTTTCCTAAGATACCCAATCCACACTGTGTCTCTCCATTATTTTTCTCAGGGATGTTTTACCTAGAACACTGCTCTTGCCTCCCTCAAGTCTAGGGACAGGGGACAAACACACAGGTGAGGCATGGTCCTCTAAGGCGGCTAAAGGCCAACTTTTCAACCTCCTTGGTTCAAGGAGATGGAACTTGAGAGACTAGACCACTGGGTTTGAGAGTGGAAGGGTTTTTGGGGCCTGGACTTTAGGGTCTCTGGGGCATGGGGAGATAAAAACCCACACTCCTTGGTGTATGAGAGGAGGGAGATGGGAGCCGGGACTCTTGTGTTCTGAGGGAGAAGGGGATTGAGAACCCAGACTCCTGCCTGAGTCTAAGGGAAGGAGGAGCTGGGGACTCCTAGGTCAAAGGGAGGAGAACATCCTAGGCCTGTCCTCTTGAGCCCTGAGGGAGGGAAGGGCAGAGGCCAAGACTCAGTGTCCCTCTAATAATAAGGTTGGGAGTGAAGTGTCCTGGTCCCAAGGACACCTAGAACATCTCCCTTTTACTGGCCCCCAGATCCTCCGCAGACTGGCAGGGTCCAACTCGACATCTCAGGAAAGGCCCTCTCTGTGGTGAACCAGATCTCCCTGGAGACACACAAAGGGCAGGGGATGACAAAACAGGCCCTCCCTGAGGCACCACAAGAAACAGCACACAAAAATAGCCCAGGTTAGCAGGGCGGGGCCCTGGACCCCTGAGGGAGGGGGCAGCTGTAGTGTTGCTGGGCTGTGAGACCAAACCATCTCCTGATGCTCCAGCCCCCAGGAACCCCACCCCTCACCGCGTCTCCTGGGTGGAAGGGCCACTCAGCCCAGAAGTACACTATCCTGGGCCAGCTCTGGACAACTTGGTGGAGGAGGAGGAGGTGGAGGTGGAGCACTCCTACAAAGATGAAGAAGAGGGGCCTGAGGGTGTTCTCACCCTTCATATCCAGACTCTGGCCAGAAACTGTAGTAACTATGTGGCCAAGCAGCTCCGGGGTCTTCAGGCTCGCCTCACCTCAGCAGCAGTAGGCTCCCACGGGCCCGGGGACCCAGCCACAGAGCTGCTTCAGGATCTACGGCACTTTCTTATTGACCTCCAGGATTACCTCCTAAGGGATCCGCATGTCAGGGCCCTCTTTGGGAACAGGGGGTCTGGAGTAGCCCAGATGGACCAGGATCTTGGTAATGAGGAGAATTGGAAGGGAACATATGGCTACTCCCTAGTCTCCCATGGGTTCGGGTTTACCATCTCTTGTTGTTGGGTGCCATCAAGTCAATTCTGACCCATAGCAATCCTATATAGGGTTTCTGAGAAGCCGTTAGTGAGCTTGAACCTCCGACCTGAGATTCAAACCGACTTTGCAGTCTAGCACACTAACCCGCAGCGCCACACCAGGGCGCCTTACCATCTCTTGGGCCTACATATGTGCTCACATCCAACTTCTTTCTCTCTAGTCCTGTGCATACCCATTTACTTGCTTTTCCACTCATGCGTCCTTTCCTCAGATTAAAACCAAACTGTTTCTGTGTGGTTGATTCTGATTTATGGCAAGTCCATGTGTTCCGACATAAAGTAACACCTATTGTGTGGCGCTGGTGGTCCAAACCCACAGTCGCTCCTTGGAAACCCTGTACAGGGTCCCTATGAGTTGGAACCGACTCCACACACTTCATAACAACAGCACTGTATTCACCACGTGCTCCATCTCACACACGTATTGACATCCACACTGCTTCCACGTGCATGTTCAGAGCCATGTTCTTGTCTCTATATTTGTGGGTGGCAAAAACAAGGGAGGGACGGCGTGAGTCGGTGGGCCGAGTGGGTGGCCGTGAATCAGCCTATGACCCTCCCTTCCATTCCCTCAGGCCCCGCAGTAGAGGTGGCCGTGTGCCAGGCGCTGCTGGCACCCCTAAAGCCTGCCCTGTGGACTCGACTGCGCACACTCCGCGCCCAGGAGCTGAGGCTACTCCGGCGGAGACAAATAGCCCTGAGGGCGGAGGCGGGGCCTCGGGGTGCTCAGGGGGCGGGGTCTGAGGGGCAGGGTCCCGCCTCCACCCTGCGGAGCCGCATCCACCAGCGCCTGGCGCGCCTTCACGCCGCCTGCGCTCCCCGCCGCAAGGTGGAGCTCCTGCTGGCTGTTTGCAGAGACATCTATGCGGGTCTGACCTGTGGCGAGAATCAAGGTAAAGTGGGGTTTGACATCTATACGAGATGGACTAAGGGAAGTGTCCACTTGGCCTGGGAAGTCAGGTAGGAGGCATCTGTGTGCGCATTGAGGGAAGAGGGTGGCAAGCAACCATGGGGGACATCTTTGTGGCCCTAGGGTGTCTAGTAGGAATTATTTGCAAGTCCAGAAAGGTGGAAGCGCAGCCAGGTTTTAGGGTCATGGGAATCAACTGGGTGGAGAGTGTTTGCGGGTCTCCATGCACTTCAGGATCTGACCTTGGGCTTCTGCAGAGCCCCAGGGGGCTGACGCTTTCTTGCCGGCGCTGACGGAGGAATTGATCTGGAGCCCAGACCTTGGGGAGACTCAGCTGGACGTGGAATTCCTCATGGAGCTCCTGGACCCGGACGAGCTGCGGGGAGAGGGTGAGTCCCCACCTCTGAAATATCTTGGACCAGCAAAGGGCGCTCTAGGGCTACCCGAGCCCCAGAGATGCCTCTTCCTGAAGCAGGCAGAAAGGTGGGCTGACGGCAGGAGCTCTCTGGGCCACAAGGGAAGCCGAGAGGGCTGACCAATCCCCTCTGGCTCTCAGCCGGGTACTACTTGACCACGTGGTTTGGAGCATTACACCATATTGCCCACTACCAGCCAGAGGCGGGACGCGCGCCGCAGGGACTCAGCTGTGAGGCCCGTGCCTCCCTACGACAGTGGCACCGCAGGCGGACGCTGCACGGACAGAACCACGCTGGTACCCAGGTGACCACCTGCCAGGGCATCGTGTGGAAGGTAGGGCGGGGCCTACTGCCCCTCTGACCCTGGCTCCCACCTCTCGCCCTAGGCTGACCTGCCGTTTGAGGAGCCATGGGTGAGGGGAACAGAGCCCGGGAACCACTGATGGTTAGGAGTCTCAAATCTCTCTGCTCTTCAGGCAAGATAAGGGAGGGGCACCAACTTCGGACCCCTGTGTTTTAAGGGCAGCAAGGAGGAAGAGATCCCAAGAAAAAGAAACAGCCTACCTCTGAGCCTTTGTACTGGCTGTTCCATCTTCCTGGAATGCCCTTCCCTAGTATCCACACTGCTCATTCCCTTCCCTTCTTTCGATGTGCAGATGTAAACTTCCCAGGAGGTCCCCCCCATCCCCCCCCAGGTCTAAAACTTTAATCCCTCTCACTTGAGCTTCTCATAGTATGTAAAGTAACTGCCCTTCAAACATGTCCATGATTGAATCCTCAGAACCTGTGAATATATTACCATACAGGGTCAAAAGGGCCTTTGTAGATGTGGTTACATTAAGCATCCTGAAATGGGGGACATTATCCTGGTTTATCCAGGTGGGCGTGGTGTAATCACAAATGTCCTTAGAAGAAGGAGACAGGAGGATCAGAAAGAGAATGAGACAATGGAAGCAGCTGGAGGGATGTGTCCAGGAACCAAAGAATGCCAGCAGGTTCTAGAAACTGGAAAAGACAAGGAGTCCAATCTCCGCTTGAGCCTCCAGGAAGAACACGAACACAGTTTTTGATTTTAGCCCCTTAAGACCCATTTCAGACGTCTGACCTCCAGCCTTGTAAAATACCGTTGTAGTTGTTAAATACCATTGAGTTGGCCCGACTCACAGTGACCCCCATATAGGGTTTCCGAGGAGCAGCTTGTGGGTTTGAACTGCCAACCTTGTAGTTTAAACTGACCTTGCGGTCCAGTGCTTATCTTACAGCACCACGCCAGGATTCCTGTAAGGTAATAAATCTGTGTTGTTATAAGCCACCAAGTTTGCGATTCGTTGTTACGGCAGCCACAGGAAATGAATACAACTTCTCAGCACTATTTATAAAAGAGAAAAATTACTGTTATTACTAAGTGCCATTGAGTCACTTCCAACCCATAGCAACCCTGTGTAGGGTATCCAAGGAGTGGCTGGTGAGTTTGTGGCTCAAACCAATTTTGCCGTCCAGTGCGTTAACCCACAGTGCCATACCAGAATAGACATGGTAGATGAGATTTTCATCCACAGATAGAATTTACTGGGAAAATAGGAAAAGGCCTCTCACTCTGTCTCCTGAAGAGATGTATTGCCACGAAAGTTTTACTATAATCAGAATTCCGTAAGTTTGTTGTTGTTATAAAGTGCTGTCAACTCAATTCCAACTCATAGCAACCCTGTAAAGGGTTTCCGAGGAGCGGCTGATGGGCTTGAATTACTAGACTTGTAGTTAGCTTATCCTCCACCTCACACTGGGATGGTAAATTTAGTCAACTAAAAATGTGCCAGGGAACATGGGATTTTTTTAAAAAGTGTTTTATTGTGAATTATGTGATAGTTTACATGGGAGAACAGCTTTACATTCATCCTATCATATATCATTTCATTGCCATGATTACAATCCCTTCCATGCATCATCAACCAACCAAAGGGTATATATACCCTACAAACCTGCCCCTCTGTCGTCAGCACACAGCCCCTCTCCCTTTCTGGATCTAGAGTCCCCAGCCGCTCCATCTCTCCACGTCATCATCTCTGCCTCCATCTCTGGCATCACTGCTTCTCTGGGTAGGGTCCCGCTCTCTGCTCTTCTCCCTTAATGGACCCAGGCAGGGACCTCCACTCCTGGACTGCAAGATCAGCCACTACCCTCCTTTTGTTATAAAATGTCTACCTTTTACATTTCCAACCCTCACAGTCAGACCTGATAGTAATTATTCATTATTGAACCACAAAAGTCCTATCCCCGTCTTCTTTCATCAGCCCCGCCTAGACAGATTGGATACTACTCAGTGGAGATTCTACCTTCCTCCACACCCTCTGGATCTAGGTTCCCTCTTGAAAGCTTGTAAGCCAGTCACTTCTTGCCTTTGTAGTCCCCCCATTTTGGGTAGCCAGTGTCCAAGTTGCCCATCACTGTCTACCCTGTGTACCGATGGGGTAGGAATGATC